CACTTGGTGCGATTCTGCTTGTGATTTTCAGTATAGACGTCGGCCACCTCAGCTACGGTTCACGCTTTTACAGCCCGAGCGACGTCGCGACTGAAAATATCGAGCGGAATCTCATCGTGGGAATCAGGCTTTAGCGTACATACTGCGGCGTCCTCGCGGCATGAATCGATCGCCGCATGCTACATTATTCACACAAAGTTTTGGGTGTAACGAGCCTAGTTGATTTCGCTGAGGCCGCTGAAGTAGTCAGCCATTTCCGGGAAGACGTAGAATCAACAATTCCAACGCGAAAAAGAGCACGAGGACTCACACCGACGCCAACAACATCGCATTCCAACGGTTTGTTTATGGACGACGGCGAGCTTCTTGCCCACACTCCATCGCTCATGCGCGGCTCCGGTGGCTTCCACTAGGGGCGCTCCGGTTGTTTGTAAACACTTGGTCTACAAGCATCGGCTTCCCTTTCAGAAAGGGTCCAACCATGACGTCATCGATAGTGCAAATATATGCCGCCAGGGAAATGCTCATCCAGAAGAAGCCCTCGTCACCCACCGGAGTCAGGCGCGGGCGCTGATTGGACACGAGCACTGCGTCAAGGTTCGACTTGGACTCGTCTCCTCGCTGATTGGTCCCGAGTCCTAGCCGAACGTTGACGCGCCTCTCGTGTCCAATCAGCAGCGACGTGCACCCAACGGAGGACGCCGGCCTCCGATCGGTGAACGTCGAAAGATCCAGCACGACGGCCTTGTTATATAAGATGTGTTGGTTCATCGCGCGAAGTTCACAACTTCCATAGGTGACAAGACGGCGTCCACGAAGCACGCGCGCTGTTTTGTAAACATCGCAGCCGCCGCATTTAATTTCGCACCATCCCAGTTAACGCCCACTCCAATCCTTTTACACGCATCTTCGGACTCAACAACACGCACTACACCCAACGAGGTGCGTTCCGCATCTGAAGCTCGTTCCCGGAAGCAAACGGGTCCTAAAAAAAAGAAGAAAAAAAAAAAAGGAGACACAACAGGAAGCCAAGCTGGCCGCGTGGCCTGCCCTCGGTGCCGAAAGGAAAAACATAGAAGAATGTTAGCGACGCGCGCCCAACCCGCTCAGGGCTAACCCTTAAAAAGAGAAAGGGGGCCAAGGGGAGAGAGAGAGCGGCCACGGTCGTGTTAATTATACTATACACGCTCAAGGTAGAAAGCAAATTACATAGCGGCGGCGGTGGCGGCGACCGACGCAGTGAACGCGCAGAACTGCTCGTGGACTCGTGAAATCGGCGCCTCTTTCGTCGGTTTCTTTTTTTATTTATTTATTTAGTAAAGAGCCGACTCTGCGGGAAAATCGGTGTGTGTGTGCCCCCCTACGGGCGGCGTTCACTTCCTCTCACGTACGTACGCTCGCTTCGGGGGTTTGGAGGACTTCCGCCCTCAGGACTGTGAGCCTTTTATGAGAGTGCATACACCTTACAGTGGTGCTTTTAGTGTATACTCGTTCTCTTTTTTCCCCTTTTTTTTTTTCTTCTTTTCTTGTCTGGCGAAGGGCAGGTTGGAGGTTCCAGTTCTTAGAGTTTCATGCGTTTTAGTTTGTGCAATAACTGTTTTGTTTACACGGTGGCCCCAAAATTGACCTCATACGTCTATCGCGGTCGTAGCGACAAAAAGAAGAAAAATTCCCCGTTTTTAAATGTTTGCCGCTTCCGGCGGCCACCTTGCTACGTCGCCGAAATGTCACCTATGCGTGCCTCTTAGCGCGTTGCGATTTTTATATGCCACAAGAATTCATCAATTAGGTAGATAATATGAATCTTTATTATAAAATGCTGGGAGTCATATATACGTTGGCAGGTTTGTCGTAGCCTGAGATTATTCCCATGAAGGGACATTGATGGTGCGTAGAAAACGACTCAAGTTCTTATTTGAATCGTTCGCTATAAAGTTGCCCTTTCCATACATTCATGCTGCACCACACACGTGATCACAAGTCGGATATAAGCTGCGGTCTTCGAAAGACATACTGTCAGATGATCTGAAAATCTTCGCTAGGTGGAGTCAAGAGGAGTGTCCTCTATACCTCAGTCTATGGCCGGACCAAAATGAGTTGCTTGGTTGATGCCTTCCTAATGGCTGGTTCACACACTTGCCATCGCTTAGGACCAAGCGCATTACGAGTTCTTGTGATGGCACGCTGGCTCCATCTATGAGGTGAATCTGGATCTGCATATTTTGCTACAGCAAAGGATTTTCCATATTTGCGAGATTAAATATGAAAAATGGTTGTGTATAACACTCAAAAGCACTTCAAGCCCATAGTAAAATAATGATATGCGAAAAGAAAATCGGAAATATACGGAAATCGCAAGTGTACCGCGGTTACCCGATGTATGTTATCTCGTCGGAAGAGATCACAAGAGGTCGCAACGCGCTTGGTTGTAAACAGACCTAAGTGTGTGAACGAGCCAAGTCTGGTGACCGACTCGACTCTTACGTTCCTACACGTTCTATCGATATTAAATGCAATATTTTCTTCCGGTTCAAGCTCTTATGAATAGCGGGTGTCTTGCCGCCTGCTGGAAGCCCTGGTACCAAGAGGGACACGTCCACTCCAAAGCAGACGCACAAGCACAGGACCGTTGAGGCAGCCAACTATCGCTCCTTGCGTAGACGCTCTGCAAACACACAAGGAAGTGAAGACGGCGGCCACATGTGTAAACCGCTCATGGTGTGTGAACAGCCGGACTGGCCGAAGAACGCTTTGTCTTCCGACCGCGGTGCGCCGCGGAGGCCCTCGCCAGACGCGCGGCGTGATACGCGTCGTCGAATGGCTACGTCCGCCGCACTCGGTCTTGCGAAGCAGGAAGTCCGTCAGCGTCTCGGCGGGTTTCCGCGTGACTCAGCCGTTCAATATTTTCTCCCAACAACGAAGATGGAGCACCGGGTCCCGGGATTGGAAAAAGAAAACACGGGCGGATTGTGGGGTTCGCCTTTTCCGCAATCCTCGGCGGACAAACAACAACAACAACAACAACAAAAATGAGTTTTAAAGCGAGATGATAGAGGGGGCAATGCGACTCGAGGCTGCATAAAAAAAAGTACCATAAAAAAAAAAAAAAGAAAACTCGTTTGATCAGCCGGTCGAAGAGCCAGCGCGAGGTCCCGCCGGTTCAGGAGCGACCCAGTCACCCAGTCGAACGACCCGACGGGTAAAAAGATGCACGCATGGTGAGCGCGCTTCTGCGGTCCTCGCAACTAGAGGTCGCAAGTTTCAGAGGTGCTCGCTGCTTTTGGTGTTATGCCGTTGTTGTTGGTTGTTGAGTTGTGTGCAGAGGGTTATGTCTTGAGACGCGTGAGTTTCTCAAAGATTGGTGCGCAATCTTTAATGACGCGGAAATTTCCCAAAAAAAGGCAATGGAGCTTTTGAATTGTAGGGGTTCGGAGGGCGAAGAAGTTTTGGTTTGGTCTCAGCGAGTTCATTGGGGTTCTCGACTTCCGCACGGAGGAGATAAGTGGCTTCGAGCTTTGAGTTTACGGTTCTAAACTTCCAAGCTCGGTGCCAAAGTGGTACCTGTTTTGTCTGGCTGGTCCTTCGCGGTACATCTGCGTTTAAAAGGTTCTTCAAACCCCAGAGCTCTTCTATTTATAGAGTTTTTATTGCGGTTTGTGTGAATCTTTTTTTATCATTTCCTCATTGAGCTGGATGATGATGAAAGCTACTGTCCCAATATGCGGAGTGCAAAATAGGTGTGGCTGATTCAGTGATTTTATCTGTTTTTCAAGAACAGGAGTAGATTGCAGAAGACGGGGCGAGGGCGGTTTGTTTTCGAAACAAAACTTCCGAGGCTTTTGTAGATCTCAAGACGCCTTCCCGCGGTTCTTAAATTCGTGTATTTTTCAGACCTATTACTCTCTTGCTTTCTCGAAGTCTTGGGTCGTCTCAACTATAGCAAACACTGACATTAAAATCACTCCTTTTTCGATGCCGCTTTTCAACGGGACAGTTTTGTATGAAGCAGGTAGTCAAGTGGTAGCTGGAGCCAGTTAGTAGTGGCTTGGAACCAAAAGCTGCCACGTAAGTTCCAGCATGCTTGTATACACATTTCTTCCTCGAACACGTGAAGCCAAAGCAAACGCTTGAGAAAAGCTGGACCTATAAATTAAATCGCCATTCATTCCGGTTTTGATATGAGTGAATATTGTACCTGGGCGCCGTCGCCTGCAGGCGACGGCGCCCAGGTACTACGTAGTACTAACCATGGTTAGTACTACGTAATGCGCGTTAGTAACTACATAACAATAATAATAATAATAATAAATAATATAAATATTTATATTATTATTATTATTTGTGAAGCAAGGTGACTTGGGTGGCTCGCAAGGCTATGCAGAAAGGCTAGGGCCCCTATGCGTGAGCGTCTGCTAGCCAGCCACCCAGAGCAAATGAATGAAGTAAAACCCACTATGTAATGCAGAAATATGCAGGAGGAAGGCGAGGATGAGACGCGTGAGAAAGGAAGGAAGCGCCGGGACGATGTGCTAAGCCCCAATGCCGAACCCGCAGCTCAGCACAGGGCAGGAGAGCAGCGCCAGGCCGGTACTAGCGTCCTGATCAAACATGAATCCCAGCCGGAAATCGGCGACAATTAACCCCCCGCCCCTGATCCGTACCCCTCGCCCCCCCCCCCCCCCCCCCCTTCGCCACCCCGCCTCGCCACCTCACCCCAATCAACGCAAAAACCCTAGCACCAAAGCCCCGCACACGGGCGATGATGGTACAGGTTAGTGCTGTTGTTAGCGCGAAAACGCCCGCAGAAACCTTTCTAAGGCAGACTAAACTCCCCCAGTGTAAACCTACGTTCAACAAACCCGACCTTACAGAAACGCGACCGCAGTCTCTTCTTCGACTAATGCGGTGCAGACACACCCACAAAGTTTAGGAACCCCGGAAAAAGAAGTCACCTTCACCAACGACTGACTTAGTCCTCGTCCGACGGTGTACCGTTGCAGATGCCCCACGGACCGCACCATCATGGGACCCCTGCACAAGGTGAACGACGACGGCAAGGTGCTGCACGCGCCTTTCGACGCCTTCAAGTTTCCCACGTCCGAGATCGTGCAGTTCAAGGCCCTGGTGACGCCCTGCCTCCCGACCTGCGAACCGGTACGTGAAGAGCACCGCGGAACCGAAGTCACGGGTATAGCCGAAATCGCACTCCTCGTATGCGTCGTACCATAGCCTCATATATACTGACAAAGCCTGGCAGATCGCACGAGAAGCGGCCGCCGAAATGGAAAAGGTGGAGCGGCAGACAACGGATGAAAAAAGAGCCACGTGACTGGCGCCCCGCTACGGCGAGGTGCCGAAACACACTTCTCCCGAGAGAAGATGTGTGTTTCGGGTCCTCGCCGCTGCAAAATCTGTGCGCTGACATCCAGGTTCCCAATAAATGTCTCTTTGACGCTCTGTGCTACCAGATCCTCTCACTCCCAGTCTGCGACCGGATGCTCTAAGGCTCCGTCGTCGAACTGCCGGGCTTTCTGAGTATAGAGGACACGGAGTTCACTGCGGACACAATGACAGGATTATCAGCGCCTTAACCATGTTTAAGAGCGTTTGCTTCATAACAGGGATCGGCAAAATACATGCCAATATGTATCAAAATACAAATACAAAAAAATTCGTCAAAACTGTCTTTAATTACAAATCTAATTACATTTCGGAAAAAGCATTTAAGTACAAGATACAAATGCAACCAAATGTATTAGGTCTCCTCCAAATACTTTTCCCAATACATCCCTCAAAATTTGCGTCAGCGACTTCAGGGCACCTGCAACGGGTTTCTGGGTATCTCATTTTAATTTTGCATCGCACACTCGGGAGTTGGTGTGCGAGGCCCTAGTAACGTAATAGAAATATAATCACAAAAAAAAAAATGTAATCAGCTTGGACGTAATAGGTGAAAAAATTAGAGAGCTTTAGGCAGCTTTTTTTGTCGATTACATTTCGGTATAGACCAACAAAGAACCGAGACGACCAAGACGCGCAGCACTAGCTAGAGATTTTTTTATTGTTGCAACTCGCACCAGTCACGAAAATCTGGACGACCCGCGCACTTAGAATGTTCCAGGCAAAAATATGGATGGAAATCAGGCTGGAAAGTATCACAAGTTGTCCCAGGCACTTATTTAGCCAGTCTGCCTGTGAACGTCGATTTCGTCATTATTCTTGCCCTGGACTAGCACCGTAACCACAAAGTTACTGAACGCTTTTGCTTGATTGAGAGACACTGCATTTGGTGCAAAACGTAGTTTTGTTCCTGCTCTGGAGAAGGACGACGACGACGACGCACCTAAACGGATGCTTGATTCCTCACCTCTGCAAGTAAATCAGTTTTTTACTATTATTTTGGTAATTTAAACTACAACCCCCCTGGGAGCGTTCGCAAAACCTCTTGGGCAGTCACCCTGACCGAAGCCCGTACTCCGAGCGACGCAACCATGAGCGAATCCACCCCCGGCTCTGAGAGCTTCGATGACAACGATATAGATGACGCAGAAAAAGAAGGTTCCGGCTGGACCCTCAACTATAGGAAGCGACGCCACGTCTCCGGGGGCTCTGCTTCAAGTCAAGCCACCATCATTGATGCCCATCGCGAGAACCGGACGGTCATCGTCAAACCCCAAGACCCGACAAAGCTCATCGCGAAGCTTAACCCTCTAACCCTATCTCAAGAGCTAGATTCCATCACACCCCATGGAGTGATTCAAATTCGACCGAACTACAGACTGAACCTCCTTGCAATTGACATGCGGGACAACAGCTCCATGCAAACGATCCTTACTTTAACAATTCTATTAGGGATCAAAGTCCAGACCTACGAAGCTCACCCACGATCTTCGGCCGTAGGAATCATTCGTGACGTAGACAAGGACATCACAGAAAGCGACCTCAAAAAGGCTATAAGCGCAACTACGCCAGTCATCTTAGTCAAAAGGCTAGGCGCTTCAGAAACGGTGAAGCTTGTCTTTGCAACCGAGACCATGCCAGAACACGTCGTTGTGGGGCATATACGCTTCAGAGTACTGCAGTACACCGACAAACCACGACAGTGCCATAAATGTCGGCGGTTCGGGCACATTCAGACCGCATGCCCCCATGTGCAACGTTGCAGCCGCTGTGGCGGCACTCACGACCGCGTCGACTGCCAAGCCGACCAACCTAAGTGCGTCAACTGCAAAAGAAAGCATGAGGCGACCTCTCGAAGCTGTCCCTTTTATAAAACGGAAGCCGCTGTATCGAGCTATCGTCACACCCACAAGGTCAGCTACCCATTAGCGAAATCAGCTGTCCTCTCCGACAACAAGAACAAAACTGCTCGAACTCTGAATCCATCTTCCAGGAACAGCCAGATCGAGAAAGTGGAGGATGCTATGATGCCGCCACTAGACGACGATCACTTTCCTGCTCTTCCACGTCAGTCAGCTGCGTCCACATCAGCATCAACTAGCGTTGGACCCGAAACATCACCGCGGCAACGCCAGGACAACTTCGCAGGAGTGACAAAAACTTCTGCTCAAAGGGCTAGCGACACAACGTACCGATCTCGTACCCAAGGCTCCGACAATAATACTGAATCTCAAGGACTAGGATCCGCGGTGTACACCCTTGCGACGCTACTACGTACCTTTCTGGCCACACTGGAGCACCCGCTCGCACGAGCAGGTATTACCCTAATTGACTTCACATTACCTCTCGTCCACTCTTGGATCAAGTAGACTCAGGCAACTGCCAGAGCCTTAACAGATATTAATACCAACACCATGCTTGATACCCGAACGATCCCCAAAAAACGATCACAAATCCCAAAACGCCTTAAAAAACTTCCATCTATCATCCAATGGAATACCAATTCGTTCCACCGTCGCCTGCCAGAGCTTCGTCGCAGACTCATCGAACTTAAAACAGACGTACTTGCTCTGCAGGAGACATACACCCAGAAGGGTTCCCAGCGAATCTCCCCTTACGTGGAGTACCACAGCGTCACTGCTCACCCCGATGGAAAATCAAGGGCTTCCCTTTTAGTCAAGCGACACTTCCTGCATGGAGAAATAGACCTGTCTGACCTGAACACCACTGTTGCCGAACATGTTGCCGTCAAACTACAGATCGCTGATCAAACAATCGTAGTTATATCATCCTACATCCGACCAGCCCAATCGTGGGACCCAGACCTGCTGAGAGTAATACGAGACCGATGCCCAGGGCCTATAGTCTGGTGCGGAGATTTTAATGCCAATCATTACGCCTGGGGAAGTGACACAACGACGGAACGAGGAACCGCACTGCTTGAAGTCACCAGAGACCTTGGACTGCGTTGTCTCAACTCCGGAGCTCCAACATTCGTTCGCGCAAATCTACAAAAGGCGAGTGTACTTGACCTCACTTTTGTATCAAAAGAAATAAGCTTCCTATGGGACATCGAACCAGACACCTGGGGGAGCGACCACCTACCAATCCGACTAACCCCACGTTATGGCACCCAACCAAAAACCAGGGCTCACAACATTACCAACTGGGACAGGTACAGAGAAGTATTCTCAAATCTGATGAAAAGCGCAAAGGCCCCTTGCTTAGAAGAAGCTATACTAACGTCCTTAAATATAGCTACAACAAAAATCACCCTCCCAATAAGTAAGCCCGTACCCGATCTTACGTATCTTCAAATACGCGCCAATGCCAGACAAGCACAGCGAATCGCCCGACGCACACACCAAGATGAAGATTGGATAAAATCTCGACGCATCGATGCAGCACTTCGTCGATATACCATAAGGCTGGGGAGACTACAATGGGACCAACGCAGTGAAAGTCTATCGACAGATACTGGGTCAAGGCGGCCTTGGACCACTGTGCAATGCCTCTTAGAACCAGTGACTCCCCAATGCCCCTATGCAGCAATTGCAATGGGAAATCAAACATCGCTCCAAGAACTGGCTGAACATTTTGCAGACGAGTTCTCACGCCCCATAAGCCCTCCCCAAGGAAATCCGCCTCCCAAAAGGCCCCCCCCTTCCAACCTATTCAACAATCAACATAGACGATGACTTTACCTTGTCCGAGCTCCGATATGCCCTCTCCCGATGCCCTCGACGTGGAGCTCCGGGTCCTGACCGCATCACAAACCAGGCTCTAAAAAACTTAGACGAGTCATTCCTACCCGGACTGTTACAACTTATAAACAATATTTGGCAATCTGGGGATGTCCCTGACACCTGGCGACACTCAGTAATAGTACCAATCAAAAAAACTAACAAGCCTGCAGCTGACATATCTTCGTACCGTCCGATTTCTTTGACTTCGTGCTTATGCAAACTGACTGAACGCCTGATCCACCGCCGTTTAAATTGGCAATTGGAACGAGCGCAAGCCTTTCCTTCTCAGCTGTCAGGATTCCGAAGAAGCCGGTCAACAACAGATGCCATCGGCGACATCGTATCGTCGTTAGAGCAAGCAAAGACAGAAGGAAAGGTCATCCACACCGTTTTTCTCGACATCCATCGAGCATTTGATGCTCTGCCACACTCTGTAATCCTAGAACGACTACAGAACACAGGAATAGAAGGGCGCGCCCTTCGCTTCATTACTTCTTTTCTTTACAACAGAACATTCGCTGTCCGACTGGCTGGCCGCCTGAGCACGATACGAAGCAGCGCCCAGGGGGTACCACAGGGCAGTGTTTTGAGTCCTCTGCTTTTTAACATCGTAATGGCTGGGCTGCCGACTGCTCTTCCTGTGGGTGGACCTTACCCCATACACTGTGCCATATACGCGGATGACGTCGCGCTATGGTGCGCTGGGCCTACCCGACTGTCCACTACCGTCCGCGCAGTGCTACAACGAGCTCTAGATCGCACGGCCTCCTTCCTCCACCATGCCGGTCTGACACTCTCTACGTCTAAGACACAAGCTCTCACCTATCGCCCTAAAGGCAGAATGAAAGGAAAATACTCTGCACTTAAAATTGGAGGCAAGGTCATTCGACGTGAACCACAAGTTCGATACTTAGGCTTAATCATTGACGACCGCGTCACTTGGCGAACTGCGGTAAAAGGTATCCTCAATGAGTCCCATAAGCTCCTCGGCGCTCTCCATCGAATATC